AGGAGCTCGGTCATCAGGAGGGAACTTGGAGTCGAGCTGCTACTCCTTCGCGTCGAAAGGAGTCAGCTGAGGTGGTTCAGCATCTAATTAGGATGCCTCCTGGGCGCCTCCTACTGGAGGTTTTCCGGGCACGTCCAACTGGGAAGAGACCCCGAGGAAGACCCAGAACACGCTGGAGGGATTACATCTCCCAGCTGGCCTGGGAACGCCTCGGGATCCCCCAGAACGAGCTGGAACATGTTGCGGCTGAGAGGGAGGTCTGGGTCAGCCTGCTGGGCTGCTGCCACCGCGACCCGACCCCTGATAAGAGGAGGAGGAGGAGGAGGAGGAGGATGGATGGATGGATGGATGGATGGATGGCGTCTAACTTGCGCTTCCTGTTGTTGTTTTTTAAGGCTACTGCAGCTGAGGAACCCGTGGGGTCGCTTCTCCTGGACTGGACCCTGGGCAGACCACTGGCCCAACTGGCCTCCACACCTGAAGAGGGAGCTGTGCGCCCAGCGAGCTGAGGACGGCCTGTTCTGGATGGACTTCTGGGATTTCATCAGGTAGATCAGGAGTTGACAAAGGCTGCACTTCTTTAGAGAAGTTGTGATCTCTTAAATTCCTTAACATTCCCAACTTAAACTACGTCGTCACGTTCAGATTGCTTACTTACAGAAAAAGGGTCAATTCTATAGACTGTATCTAAGAAGTGGATGTAGTCAGTGATGTCACCTATTGGTTTGTAGTTTGAAGCTTGGAGTTAGCATTTTGGTCGTCGCCATCTTGTTTTTTTCGCCATCAGCATTGTGGTTTTTGGACCTAAAGCAAGAGAGAAGTAGAGTCATTTTCTCATAGACTTCTATACAACCAGAGGAGTCGCCCCCTGGTGGACACTAGAGAGAATGCAGGTTGGCACCTGAAGCTTTGACTTCACTTTTCAGATCCGGAGGTTTGCCGCCTGGTTATCTCATGAATGAAATAAGTAAATGTGTTGAAGCATTCACTAATGTCTGTGAGTGTGTTTTTTGACAGGTACTTTGACTCAGTGGATATCTGTAAGATTCATTCAGACTGGCAGGAGGTCCGAGCGCCGGGTGTTTTTCCCCGAGGAGCCGACGTCCCGGTGACGGTGGCGACCATCACAGTGCTGGAGAGAACGGCCATGGAGCTGGCTTTGTTCCAGCAGGGCAGCCGGTAGGACAACGCTGACAAAACCTCCTTGTTGTTGCTTATTAAAGAACTCAATCGCTGAAGAGCTCTTCCACACCAAATACACACACATTCCATAAGAGAGTTTGAATTCTTCATTCTTAAAATAACTTCTCCTTCCAGAAATCCAGACTTTTAAAGTCCCGGATAGCTTCAAACATTCTCCATCTTAAACAGAATGAAGTTGCAGCGTTTAGCCTCTTTTCCGTCTCCTCATCTTGGAACATCGTCGACGAAGTTTTATCCTTTATGGCTGAATATCCACTGCTGCTGCTGTGTGCGTGTTGTGGAAGCCCCAGATAACCCGAGAGTCTGGCTTCATAACACAATCCGGAGGTGCTCGGTGAATATCACCGGCTGTTTTCTGAATGGAGTTTGGATCAATCAGTGCTAGGCTATGCTAACATCGTAGCTGCTCCATCAGCACTCTAAATAACATCATCTCCACATAAAGCGACGTTATGGTTTCCCCATAGATAGTCTATGGTTCATTTATACAAATGGCTTCATCAACTGTTGTCAGCAGGAGAATCTCAACGCTGAACGACTGAAGCGACACAACAAGTTAAATATCTCAACACAAAATTGGTGAATTCTTGTCCTTTGCATTGACTTTGCATTTAAAGAAGTTTGCTTCTCGTTTTTTGTAAAGAAAGGATAAAGAGTCCGATCTGATTCATCGTTGAACATCATCGTTCTCACATTTATGTGCTGAGCTTCCGAGCTCAAAGACCTGAAGCATGAACTGGACCCTGTCTCCTCAGGCGGTGGGACACGGCGGAGAGCCACCTGTTGGATCTGTGCGTGTTGTTGTTCCGGGTCTCCTTCGACGGCTCGGGGACGCCGGCGCTCGGCCGCCTGCTGGCTCACAGCCGCCGCTCGGTGAGGAGGTTCGTGGGCTGCGAAGTGATGCTGGAGCCGGGAGAGTACGCCGTGCTCTGCTGCGCCTTCAACCACTGGCACAGCACCGCCACGGAGTGGACGAGTAAGAGCACCGCCATCGTCTGCACGTCTTTACCCCCTTATGTGTTTCTTAAGTCTAATTTAAGATGTTAAACTAACATCTTAAATTAAACTAAACTCTCCAACAGCAATCTGTTAATCTAAATAAAAGCTGTCGCCTAAATGGCCTTGCTAGCAAAGTTAACTTATCATTAGTAATTAATATTAATAAAAAATAATGAAATAATAGAAATAAAGAAAAGAAACAAGCTACGTATTCCCAAGAGAAAGAAAACCTAAAACTCATCTTTTCAAACTGGCTTTTTCCTCAAAATAAATGTATTTACCATTAATTTAAAAAAAATGAATGTAATTATTTTTTTATATAATGTTTTAAATTGTTATATTTATTTTTTTCTCTTTTATTTGTCTATTTTTAATCATTTCTGTTTTTAATGTTCATTTAATCTCTTGTGAAATGCATTTATTGCACATTTTATTATGAAACGTGCTATATGTAAAAAAAAAAAAAAACTTTAATCACAGAAATTTAGTCTTTTTTTCTCAGACTGTTATCCCCCGGCTCCATATTTATTTTATTTTTTTTTACCCACAATGGCCCTGATAACATGTCTTCCTTCAAATTAATTATAATCTAACCCCCCCCCCCCCCCCGTTGTGTCCGTTCAGCGAGCGGCGGCCGGTCCGAGGAGCCCGGCTACATGCTGGCGGTCTACAGCTCCAGACTGGTGATGGTGGAGCAGCTCACGGCCTCCAACACCACCGTCGCCGACGCCATCATCCATCTGACGGAAACCAAAGGAGAGAGACACGAGGTAACATCCACTCCGTCCTCCATCAGTGTGACTGAGTCGTGTCTGATTGTGTTCAGGTGTGAGTCCTTTAATTCCTTCATTCTGCTCCTCTTTCAGATAAATCAACTCTTTAAAAAGCCTCTTGGATCAGATGTTAAATGCATCGTCACAAAGCTTTTCTTTGTAGAGAGACGTGGTTCTAACGCTACAAACATCTGATGATCTTATAGAACATGATCATTAATGTAGATTAAACTAACCAACAGGATATAAAGGACTTAAAAAGCAACATACACATGCAGCAGGAATATTAATCCAGAAAGTACAGATTACAGTGCAGGACTTTTACTTGTCATGGAGAATTTTCACAGTGTGGCAGTAAAGTGTACTCCCCCCCCCTCCTCCTCAGGGCAGAGAGGGGATGACCTGTTACTACCTGACCCACGGCTGGGCAGGGCTTATCGTCATGGTGGAGAACAGACACCCGCGGCATCACCTCCACGTGTCATGTGACTGCAGCGACAGCTTCAACGTGGTGTCGACGCGCAGCAGCCTGAAGACCATCGACAGCATCCCTCCTCTGCACAGGTTCAGATTACTGATGTCATGATTTAAGATCATCCTCTGCACAGGTTCAGATTACTGAGGTCATGATTTGAGATCATCTTCT